AGCTGTGAATGAGCCCATCTCGCACTTAGTACAGGCAGAGTCACTGCAACAGGCAGCTCTCCTCCAACACCCACACATGGAGCATCCCCAAGACACACAGCAACCTCAACTGTGCTCCGGCTGTTCCCCCGACACAACTGCTGCAGCCAGCAAGTACAGCCAGAGCTCATCCTATTTTTACAACATCCGTTCCCAAAATGTTCCCAGGGCACTGTTTAATCTACCAGTTTTGATGCAAAGTTTGGGGCAGGAGGGGCTGATTCCAGCATCACGACGGAGTGATATCCATGTTGGGATTAACATGGCACAGGGAGCTCATATTGAAGGGGTGGAGTAGGCAGGCATGCAGCTAGCAGGGACAGCATAGGGGCTGCAATGGGTCAGTCTGGGGGCAGAGAGCAGGGATCTGTCCCGCGGTCCCCCCGTGTCCCACGCCAGGTACTCACTTCCCACCCTCAGGTAGGTCTGGTATTTGAGGTGCCAGGAGGAGCCTTCGTAGCAGGAGTACTGGCCACTCTGCGTGAGGTCCACGTGCTTCAGGACCAGGTACGACCCATTCAGGTGGGAATCGTCGATGTCGGTGCCGTTGGCCGTCCAAGTCACAGCTGCGTCCCTGTCCATGGACCCACACTTCATGGTCACGTCTGCGCCTACTCGCTCATACTGGATGTGGCTGTCTGTGGAGGCAGAAGAGGAGAAAAGCAGGTGAGTTCAGCCCTGCAGGCAGGTCAAAGACCCCATGGCCACCTTGGAAGAAGGTTCCTAATACAGTGTGGATGGCAAGTGAGGATTGGCCTGAGGCATGGACTGATGCCACGCTTGGAAAGCCCATGTTACCCTCCTGGGTCTAATAATGCTTCACTCTGACATTAGATCAGAGTGCACCAACCCTCATGGCTTGGTGGATCAGGACTCACAGACCACATATGTTTTGGAGGATGCTTTCCTCCTACCTTTGCCTTGGCAGAGGCTCCCCCAGCAAACCCAAAGCCAAATGCACACTCAGGAACAGCCTCCCAACCCATCTTTCCCACATTCCTTCATATTTCCAGTGAGAAAGCAAAGAAGAAAGCACTTTTCCCAACAGAAACGTCTCTCTACCCTTCAGCCCAGGGGCACACACCAACCTCAGCGCAGCAAGAAACCATAGCAGGAAAAGGGACTCCAAGAAGGCAATGCCATCAGGAATAGCCTGTGATCCATGCCTCCTGTGCCACAGGCCAGCACCAGGACTGCACTGCCCCTGCCAGCTGGTCCCACAGGGACTGTCCCTTGGCACGGTAGGGATATATCGGACAACTCCCCACCCCTTGCCCACACCGGTGACTCTGATAGTGTCAACCTTCCCAGGACCATATCCCTGGAGAAAGGCCCGTGGTTGCAATAAGGAGGACAGTCTGGACAAACCCACCATGCTAAAACGAGGTGAGCAGAGTGATCCCCCTGCTCTGCAGCAAATCCCAGGTGCCTGACTCCAGTGCCAGCGCAGGCCAAGAGGACACACTGGGCACATGGGAGCGTTGCGTGCCGCTCTGCCACCACCGCCTTGTGACCCAAGGTGGTGGGTGGCAGTTCATGCGCCTGAGACAGCTACAGCTCAGCTGGGGCTGAGCAGAGCTGACAAGCAAAGAGGTGACAGAGCCGCAGGACTTGTCACCTGCGAACCGGAGTTATTTGCTAGAGGAGGAGGGAAGCAGGCAGCTGCCCTCGCAATCCCTTCCCAGGAAATCAGGTGGGAGGACGGCAACTTACCCGAGTTGCGCTTCAGAAAAGGGCAGCTGTTCATTGCATGCTACGCTGTTTATCTCCCCAGCTGACTTTTCTTCTCACTCTACAATAACACGATGCCTTGCTGAGCCATTTGATTTAGCATTGTGCAAGTGGGGCAACACAGCTCATTGGGCACCAGCTGCCTAATTGAATTTTCTCAGGTTTCTGGACGAGAGCTTGTGCTGACATTCATTAATGATCCCCAGCAATTGAACCTTTCCCATGTTGTCACTTCGGCCAAGCTGGGTGGTGTGCAGCAAGGGTAGGATTATGCACACGTGTGTGTGACATGGGGCGAAGCAGGGCACAGAGATCGGCAGAGGACAAGCCACAGCGTAGCAAGGCCAGCACGTTTGCATCCTTAGAGGGGTTTGGGTTTTCATGTGTGTGCAGTGGGGACAGGCCTGCTTAATGGAACAGTGGCAGCATGTGCTGGTCACACACAAGGATGCTGAAGGAGCAAATAGAGTTGGGATGGATCCGTATGTGCTGCTGCAGCAGGCATAGGGCAGGGGGTGCAGCAGCGACCGTCGGCACAAGCCTTTGAGGGATGGTTGAGACCCTTTGCAACACGGGTCTCCAGTTCTACAAATGTGCCTGGGGTACCATGGCACTTTCAAAGAAGTCTCTCACTAAAAGCTCCCCCAAACAAATCAAGCAGGCACCGAAATACAAGGAACGTCCTCACGAGGATCTATAGCGGCGAAAGGTCAGGAAAGCAAAGGGGAGAGTAAGCAGCCATTCTGTGCAGTGGAAGACGTCACCGGCAAAGTTCAACAGAGATCAGAGCTGGAGCTTGTCCTGCCCAGCACATCTGTGACTGATGGGGAAAATGCGGTCAGCCAGTCAGAGGTGACAGCATGTTGCTGATGCCATTAGGGCAGTAAAATAAAAGCTGGGTGCAAATGCATTGCAGAAGGACATACGGACTGACGCTGTGCCAAGGAAGGGATGCACACCAGGGAAACAAGTCTTGCTTGCTGGCACAGGCTCCACATTAGCTGCAGCCTCCATGGAAATATATCTCGGAGTTATTGCACACACGTCCCTGAAAACATCAGCTTGGTGGTGAGCAAAAACACAAACCTGATGTTAGGAAAGGAATGCTATGATGGAAGGAAATGGACTAGAATGGAAAACACTGTCTCCTAAAAGCTGCACCAAATCTGTCCCTGTGCCAGCAAGAATACAGTTTAGCTGAAAATGGAGCTGAGGAAGGCAACGTGATGGATCAAAGGTTGGAAGCAGCACCCGTGCAAGGAATGACTTAACAGAGTCAATCTCTTCATGCCGAGAAAGCGACAACTGAGTGGAGACGTGATAGAGATCTAAGCAACGATGAATGACATGGGGAGGATGAATAGGGACTGACTGCTAGCTCCTTCTCCTAATACAGCAATTAAGGGGCAGCAAATGAAATTACCAGGCAGAAGGTTTAAAACAAGCAAAGGGAAGTATTTTTTCGCACAATGCATAATTAAATTACAAGTCCATCAGTCGCTGCAGATGTCAAAAGTTTGGGGGGAAAGAGAGATTAGATGAATACAGAGCAATACAGAGCTCCAATAAGGGCTGTGAAACACAGAGCTGCCCCAGCGAGCCTGGCAAGGCTGTAGGTGGTGAAGGTGGGAAGGGACAACACCCTGCATTCATCCTGCTCTTTTCTCTGTCTCTAAATATCGGCTCCTGGGTCCTGCTGGGAGATGGGACCAAGGGCTAAATGGGCCTTGGCCTAATGAGATGCAGCCACCCCTTACATCTTGTGTGAAACGCCACAGCCCCAGTGACACATCAAAGAGACAACTCCAAGGCTGTAGATAGGGATAGGCAGGCTGGGAGCTGGATGGGGCTGACCCTAGAGGAGGCCCTGGATGGCTTGATTCCTCCCCCAGACCCTTTCAACACAGACCTAACTACTCTGAGCCCTGAGACATTTCCAGCCTAAGGGGTCATGCTTTGCACCACATCAGGACACTGATTCCTGACTAGGAAACAGCATCTTCAGGGATGCTGTCTCTGCTGGGAATGGAGTGCTGAGCACAGAGTGTAGACTATGGCTGTAGCTCAGGTCCCATAGCAGGTGAGATGTCTCCAGAGTGTCTCTGATAGTGGCCAGGGATGAGGACCTCTGAGAGACTGTGTAGATCAGAAAACTGTGTTTCAGCTATCTTAGAAAAGTTTACAGCCTATACTGGCAGGCATAAAGAAGAAATATCCAAACCGAGGAGTCTGATGCAGATGGATAGTTGGAGTGGGCCTAGATATGCAAACAGATAGGCAAAAGTACCTAAGAAGATGGATGGGTGAAGGATGAACAAATGTGTATGCTTGTGGACAGATGGATAGCTGGCTGGCACAGATGGGATGGAGAAAAGTGTATGAACATGCAAGGATGGATGTCTATGCAAGCGGATGGATGGGTAGATGGATGGGTGCATATGGGGATGGAGAGATGTGTGTTAGGATGGAGGGATAAATGTATCAGCAGATGGCCAGAGGTTGTGGAAGGATGGATGAGTGGATGGACGGATGGATGGATGGATGGATGTGTGGGTGGCTGGCTGGTTGTGCATGTCAGTGGATGGATGGATGGTCTGTTGTTCAGATGGCTGGGGAGATAGATGAATGGACAGATGGATAGGCAGATGGGTGGATAGGTAGAGACAGCAGATCCCAGCGTCTCATTCAAGTTCCCTTCTAATCTATTCTACAGTATCGAGTACAGACACAATCTCTTTCCATTCTTTCTGGCAAACAAAAATCAGCTGCCTCCCCTTTCCCTAAAAAGAGTAGGGTCAGAGTAGGTGGAGAGGAGGCTCTCTGTTGTGATGGACCAGAGACCTGATCTGCCCAGGCCCTGGTCTGGTCACTGTTTTATCTCTGGGGAATATCTGAGGAGCAGCGGAAAGGCGCAGAGGTGCCAAGTTCTGCTTCTCAGGACTGAGGCTGAGCATGCTGAGAACTTGTCTATAGCTAATGACTGCAGGGATGAGCTGGGCAGGGGGGAAAAGGCACCTTGAATTACATCCTAGTTGTCCTTAAACACAGTGCAAACACACTGGCATTCGTCCAGAAGGGTTGGGGGAGCCATTACTGGAAGACAAGTCCTTGAAAGTAACACTCACTTCCAAGGCAGTGATTTAAAGCCCCTGACAAAGGAGAAACCCAAAGCACAGCTTTTGAGCAGCCCTTTCTCTCTGCTGAGTCTGTTGAGGCTTGTGGAGGTACCAAGCCATGTCTACACATCCCTCTAACCTCTTGCTGGAATTGCACCTGGATGTACCCCTGTGTGATCGCATGGCACCCCAGTGGCAGAAACATCCCTGCAGGCTGATGTAGGGACATGCTGTGCTGCTCCCACAGTCACCACCTTTGCCAGGCTAGTGCCCTGCAGCACGATGGAACAGTCTGTACATACTGAGTCAATGCAGTGGTGACCTTTAGCAGGACCCTCCATTTCCGTGGAGCCTCAGTGCTACATGTGCAGGACCCCAAGGGACCGCAGAGCCATGTATTCCGCTCGAGGAGGGAGGACACTTTGCCCCCTCTCCCTAGCACTGCCCATCACTGCTGCCATGTGGGACTGACAGCAGAGATGGTGTCAGCACGGAGCCCACCTTGCTGGATGGGCATCGAGCTGGGGCATGTGGAAAGGCTAACCGTCAGAAACTGCAGCTTAGGAGGTTCAAGATAGACATTACGGAAAATGTCTTCTGGGAAGTTTTCTGGATACAGGGCTGGTACCCAGAGAGTTGGGGGATCTCCATCCCTGGAGATTGACAAGGATCACTTAGACAAAGTCTTGGCTGATCTGACTTACTTTTCTACAGTAGGAGGTTGGAATAGAGGTGGCCAAAGATCCCTTCCCGCTCCTGTGACCACCTCCTTGAAGAGATCCTTGGAGGCC